GTAATTGGTTGTGTGGTTAGATTTTAGTGCGCAAAAAATTTATGTTCCAAACACAATCTTAAAAAATTGTCTATGACATAAAGGATACCTAACAACTCAATTAGTATTTCTCTTGTATTTTAGAAATGAACAATCCTATATATTTTTTTAAAAAAATTATGTAAGAAATTATTAAAAAAAAAAATCTATATTTATTGTGGATGCTGCAGAGGAATGGGTGTTTTGGCAGTGGCGTGGGGGCGTTGATTTGATTTTGTTGGTTTAGTTTATTTAGTTTATTTTGAGGGCTGGTTTAGTTCTTTTAGTTTGTTTTGGGTGTTTTGATGGGTTGATTATGTGGGGATTTTTGTATTTTAATTTTTCAGTTAAGTTCTTCTTAACTTTTTCTGGTTAAAAATCGAGAGGCTTAGGGGTTGGTTGTATGGATGCGAGTAGCAGTAGTAGGGGTATTTTTATACTTCCGAATCTCTCTCGATGCATGTCATCTTCCTGTACTTTTAATTTCATGCTGTTAAATGAAATTTTTCTTTGCCGATCAAAAAAAAAACTAATTTAAATTTACACCATACACTTATTTTTAAAATAAACTTTAATGATTCACAAGATTTTTGTTTGAAAATTTCAAGTGTTTAATTTCTTTTGTTTCATCCTACTTTCTTGACTTCGGATAATTTATTAATAAGGCCATTGAGGAGTAAAGTGTATTTGTCATAAAATTTATAAAAAAAATTGAAACGTAAAAGACGAAAGTCTGTTGCGACTAATGGAGTTGAACAAGTCTTTTGTAAGAATAGGTGACCCAGTTAGGCTGCGTAAGAAATTCGTGAAATTCATAATTTGATTTAATTTAGTTTAATTTGTTAAGTTTGGATTAGTTTTTTGAATTCGTGATTCAGTTTCAAATTGAAGAATTAAAAATTCACAGTCCACGTACGGATTGGTTCCGGATTGAACTCTACGGTTCCGGATTGAAACCAATTTGGACCGTATACAAATAATCTATATTTTTATTGTACATCCTCCCCCATAGTGTTTTCTCTTATTCCATATAAAATCTAAACTCAAATCTAAACCCGCATAATATCTTCTTTTATTACTTTTGTTTGTTAGTTTTTAGTTTTAATTTATAATGGTCAAAATACTTATGGTGAAACCAATTTTCTTGTGATTGTTTAAATTCTAGAACAATATGTTGTTATTGTGGAACTAATAGCACTATGTTTATATTTTTATGAAATTAAAGTGTTATATATATATATTTTTTTTATTTAATTATGTGAATCTGTGGTCCTAAACAGATCCAATCCGTGTTTAAATAGATTGGTTTGGATTGGAACCATGATTTAAACAGATTGGATTGGTTCTAATTTTTCAAGAATCGTAGATAACAGATTGGTCCTGATTTTACCCCAATCCGATCTAATTCAGACCATGCTCACCCCTAGACCCAGTGGCTTTCAAGGTTTTAGAACAACTGGAATTATTTTGTTGTAATCTAAATTATTAATAAAAAATTATAAAAAATCTTTTGTGACAAAAATCTCCTTGGCAATTGTTTTTTTCTTGTTAATACAATATTCATCGCTTTTTTTTTTTTGATATATCATAATTTTTCTTTTAAATTTTCCTAATAATTATTTTTAAGCAAAAAATATTATTAATTATATATAATATCAGGGCCGGCCCTGGGCATAGGCCTATCAGGCCATAGCTTAGGGTCCTTCAAATTAGACCCAAAAAGGACCCCTTCTATTATAGTTTAGTGTAATATATTAGGTATGTTTTAGATCAAAAAATAAATAAATAAAAGAAGGCCCAAACTAATTTAAAATAAACTGACTCATTAAAGAATTAAAAAGCCCCATTTAAAATTAAAAGGGCCCATTCTCTCTCCTTATCTAATTCCTAACCCTAACTTTTAATTCAATTTTTCCAAATATTTGAAAGAAGCGGCACAACAGAGTACTAACGAATTTCTCAAGAATTCGTAGCAAGTATGATTGATTTATTTGCTTCTAAAAATGCAAGAAGAGCGAGGATCAAGTGATACTTATTAGTTGTTGTAATGTAATGCTAAATATTTTTTATGATTTTGACACAAATCTTGTCATTTACCTTAAAAAAAAATTCGTTCAATAAAAAAAAGAAAAAAGAATGTGAAGGGCCCAAATGATCTAATAATATTTATTAGTTGATTATCGATTTTGGGCCCTAGAAATCTCAGGGCTAGGCCTATATAATATGCTACGAAGGGGCTTTTCTTCAGTCGTGAAAATGGATTGGACATAGTACAATTTTTTTTTTTAATGTGGACTTATCACAAAATCCATTTTTATGTATTCCAATCGAAAAAAGATTGAGAGCTCTAATAGTTTTAATTAGTGTGTGGGTCTTGTGTGATGTGATGTTTTGATCTTAGTTTTTTTTTTTTTTTTTTTTTAATTTTATTTTTCACATCATTAGTGCTCTTTTAGAGCTATCAAATTAGTGTGATGTGCCATTTTTTATTCCAATCATCTCTTTGGTTGAGGTACGTACATTGTTTATGAAAATATTCATATTGATTTGATAATCATATTTATATTATTTAGTTATCAAAAGCAAGAAGTATGTTTTGATAATATACTACAAAATAAATGTGATAAAACGGTCTATTTACAATTATTATAGTAAGCTTATTTTTTCATTGATTATCTACATACATAAATCTAAATGATTATTGAAACATATAATCAAAATTGACCACATGCCCAACGATGAGTGACTCGTGTCAATCCATTATGATAAGCTCAATCCAGTGTAGGTGATACAAAACACAATCACCATATTTGGATGTATAAAATTGAATCGACCTTTTAAAAAATTGAGTTTTTTTATTTATTTTTTGTTTTTATTGATTTTTTTTTAATATTTTACGCATTTTCATATTATTTTTTTAAATATATCTAATTTAAATACGCTCAAAAAGTATAATATTTGTGAAAAAAAACTTAAAAAATTTACCAAATATAAAAAATATAAAAATTCAATACATTTTCGTATTTTGTTGTATTCAATGAATATATATATATATTTACTTTTTAAGTATATTAAGATTAAGTGAATCTAAAAATTAAAAAAAAAGTGATTAGAATAATTAAAAATCATTAAAAATATAAAAATACGAATTGAACATTTAGAAAATTATTTTTGAAAATTGAAATAATTTATCTAAAAATTAAAAGCAATGGTAAAGACAAACAATCCACACAACCCCCTCCAAAAAAATTTTAAAAAATTAATTAATTAAAAAAAAATCCTAGATTATGGGCGCATCTATTTCCTCTTCCCACAAAGTGAAACCAACTCCCCCACCACCTCATCTATCTCTTCCTCTTTCTTTATTGTAATCTTCTCACTCAACTCCCTTGCTTTCCTCTTGATTCTCATTCCATTTTTCTGCTCCACCACTGTCGTTTTCAAAACTCTTGCTATCTCTTCTATATGAAGCCTACCAGTCTGATCTCTCTTGACCTTCACACCAAGGTTCTAAATCGCGGTATCGGGTAACGTAACGGTATCGATCGCGGAGTATCGGTATCGGTAGTATCGATCGGTACGTATCGGGAATCGGGTGTCGCGGTGGTGAAATTTTAAAAATCATTTTAAAGGTTTTTCAACTTTTTCTTTCCCGTACCGGTCCGAACCGGTGAGTATCGGCCCGTCACGGCTTGTGTAACGGCTTGTGTAACGCTTATAGGCCGATACGTACCGGGACTCGGCCGGTCAAGATGCATAGGCATGGCCCATGATTGGAACACCAAACTCTATGCTTTCCAATACAGAATTCCATCCACAGTGACTCACAAAGCCACCAATGCTGGAATGCCTTAGAATCTTTACCTGGGGAGCCCAACCCTCTCCAACCATTCCTCTCTCACCTACCCTGTCAATGAAAAAAATTATTAGTAGCCGATACTGAGTAATAATGTCACGTGATATTTTTCACCAATTACAAAACATTATATTTCTATGTTATTTTTCAAATCTCAATGTATTGTTAACCTTTTCTTCGATTGATAGTTCAACATAAGAGGTGCTATTGAAACTCGGTGGGCCCATCTCATGCTTGATATTTTAAATTGTTTAATTTTTTTATTAACTAAAAAGAACTTTTATAAATGAATAGCAATTAAAGATTACAGGCATTAATCCGTAGTGTGAAACAATGCATGATTGCCAACTAAACATATTCCAACTAGGTTTGGTATATATAAAGTATGTCAATTGTGTAACACCAAAAAAAAATAAATGAAAATCCCCCATTGAGGTTGGCAAGATGCCAATCGAAACTATCTTAAATTGTTCATTTTGTAGGATTTATTGAGTAGATAGTCTATACAAAACATTAAGGGGTATTTGAGATGATCTAAATAAATATATTTTTTAACTTTTTACGAAAAGATATGCAGAAAAATAGAGACACTTATCTAAATAAATGCACTTATATAAGTTATGTCAAACACTCCTAAGTTGATTGGATTGTGGTAGCCAGATATTCCGATCACATTTTTGTTAAAATCATACTTGCAATCCATTTTTGTCTCATCATTTGACTATTGATATCTGAAAAATCCATATTTTGTATTAATTATTTGTGTGATAAATCTTACAAAATTTATAATTTAAATCACTAAGATGGGTCGCCCCCAAGCCTTAACAACACTTCTCGAGTTAGATTACCAAATAGAGATAATTCAATAGTAAAGAGAAACTAATTTCATATCAGATAGAGAAAAATAAACCAATCAAACAAGAGAAAAATATTAGATACCCTGGCAATGAATCCCTTAGGTAGTACATCTTGAACCCTAATTTTCTCTCCCACAGGGAACCTAACAACCCATATGAAGTTAACCTTGCTAAGCTCTAGCCCATGAGCTATCTCTTCCATCTCCTCCATGGACAGAAAATACTCACACCCAAACAAAACAAACACCGTTTAAGACTCATCTTTCTTCTCAAGCCATTCCATTGATCGCTCCATCCCCATCATCATAGTCGTTCTTCGCTTTCGCAGGTTCTTGAACAAGCGTACTAACCGGTTGAATCCTCTTATTCACCAATGCTGAGAAATAATCGATATATTTTCCATCTAACCCTCTAGAAGTTTTGAGCAACATGACATCCTGAGATCGTTTAATGGATTCGAAGATAAGATCTTTTTCTTTCACACCATTTGCAGAGAATTCAAGCATGGATTCAAAACTACTTCTTTCATACTCATGAAGATGAATTGCCCGAAATGGGTACTCGACATTGGGGTTCTTGAAGACATGGTGGAAAGTAAAAGAAATAAACAAAGCCCCAAAAGATAAGAACAGAACAACGGGAATATTGAGCGAGGAAGCTGTTGCTAGTACCCATGTCTGGTTGAAGTCATAGATGACCAGGTTAGGATTTAGGGTTTTGAGAATGGTGGAGAAGGCGGGGGCAAATTTTTCAAGGCCGATTTTAAGGGCGGCCATGAGGTGGGTTGGGAGGCCATTAGTGGTGTGGTGGTAGGAAAGGATCTCCGGCGAGGATGGAAGATGGAGCTCCACTAGTTGTATATATAGAGTGATGATATTTGTCACTAAGCTTGTTTTTAATGGAATTGAGATTGATAGCTATAGAAGGTTCTAAATCGTGGTATCAGGTAACGTAACGGTATCGATCGTGGAGTATTGGTATCGGTAGTATCGATCGGTACGTATCGGGAATCAGGTGTTGCGGCGGTAAAATTTTAAAAATCATTTTATAGGTTTTTCAGCTTTTTCTTTCCCGTACCGGTGAGTATCGGCATGTTGCGGCTTGTGTAACGGTTATAGCCCGATACGTACCGGGACTTGGCCGATACTCCTGCGATTTTCAATCTCAGCGGTATACTGGCCTGTATCCGTCGCGGCACCCTATTTTTCCGATACGTAGCGTATCGGTCGATATTTAGAACCATGTATATATAGAAGTTTTTGAGTGTGAGTTTTTTGGCTAGCTCCACTACAAGAAAGAACAGCTTTGGCGACTAGTTTTGCCGACTAAACTCAATTTAGTCGCCAAAGGGTTACGTATTAGCTACTAAAAATTAGTTGGTTGCCAATGGTTCATACATTAGCTACCAAACAACATTTGGTCGCCAAATGTTCAATTATTAGCTACTAAAGTTTATTGGTTGGCAAATGTCCCCTATTTCGCTACCAAAATAATGTGTAGTCGGAATTTGTTTTCACTTTTGGCGACAAACTACGTTTTAGTCGTTGAAAATATACTTTTCAGTGACTAAATATGATGTTAGTCGCGAAAAATAACTATATTTTTTGTTTAATTTGTATTTATTTAATTTTTGGCTACTAATTGTACAATGGTTGTGGAATTTTTTGGTTTGGGCGACTATTTCAATTTTGGTCGCTAATGAGTAGAGTATATATTGACTATAATTTGGTAGCCAAACGTGCCACAATTTTTTTGGAGGGAATTTTACAATTTTCGTAAATTTATTAGCAACGAAAAATTGGTTTGGTCGGGAATTATTATTTGTTTGTTTTATTTTTATTGCCAAAGCGGTCCATTTCCCTCCCTCTCGCACTCCCGCGTCTGATTCTGCTCTGTCTCCATTGCCTTCAGTGCAAATATCTGGATCATCCCCCGAACTCTGGTATGTCCTCTCTCTCTCTCGCTCTCTCTCTCTCTATCTCTCATAGAGGCCTCTCGGTTTCCCTTTCTCTCTCTCTCTCTCTCTCTCTCTCTCTCTATCTCTCTATCTCACTCATGCCTTCGCCCTCTTCTCTACAGCTTTGTTTCCATCGCCATCATCGCAAGGCTTGGTGGATCATCTCCCAAACTCCCTTGCAGGTATGTCCTCTATTTCGCATCTGTCTCTCCCTCTCTCTGTATCTCCCTCCCGATTTCACTCTCTTTGCCTCGGTCTCTATTTAAAGACACACACACATGTGTGTGTGTGTGTGTGTGTGTGTGAAAACACACAGATTTATGTGAAAAATGCTGAAAATTAGGGCATTTTTTTTGAAATGTGATTGAAATTAACAGTTAGGGCATGTTTGTCTATGTTTGGAATAGAATGGTTGGAAACCTCTAGCTGCTACCATGTGGACAAGAATTTTTAGATGAAATTTTTAACAATATGATAGCAGTTCTTGCAAATTGATGTCTAAGAGACAGTTGTCCACACTGGTGATATGTGTAATTCTATTCCTCTAAATCATCCCATGAAATGTCCTTTTCACTTAGCATAAACATCTAAATAAGAATTTTAAATGTTGTGGCAGTAATGAAATCTTGTATTGGTATTACTAGAAATGTATAGTAGTACCATCATCTTTCTCTAGGAGTACTACTATATAAAACTGGATCTTGGAATCAGACCTCGAGTGAAACACATTATTAGAATTAAGCACTTCTCTCATTTGCATAAGTTCTTAATTAAATTCCAGGCTTTGAGTTGTTCATTAGAAAATAGATATATCTTTTGGAGAATATTATTTTGTCATTGTATTGGTATTATTGGCAATGTATAGTACCTTTTGAGAGAGACATGAATGGTTGGAATAGAAACCTCTAGCTGCTACCATGTGGACAAGATTTTTTAGATGAAATTTTTAACAATGATAGCAATTCCTTCAAATTGATGTCTAAGAGACAGTTGTCCACACTGGTGATATGTGTAATTCTATTCCTCTAAATCATCCAATGCAATGTTCTTTTCACTCAGCATAAACACCTAAACTAAGAATTTTTTATTTATTTGAATGTCGTGGCAACAATGAAATCTTGTATTGGTATTACTGGTAATGTATAGTAGTACCTTTTGAGAGAGACATGAATGGTTGGAATAGAAACCTCTAGCTGCTACCATGTGGACAAGATTTTCTAGATGATATTTTTAACAATGGTAACAATTCTTGCAAATTGATATCTAAGAGACAGATATTTATATTGTCCACACTGGTGAAATGTGTAATTCTATTCCTCAAAATCATCCAATGCAATGTTCTTTTCACTCAATATAAACATCTAAACTATAAAAAATATATATATTATATTTTTTATTTAAATGTCGTGGCAGCAACTAAATCTTGTTGTGGGAACAAAAAGAGCCATATCTTAGTCAATGGCTAATGCTCTAGCCACTTCAGTTTTAGTAATTCTCTTCTGTGTGTTGCCCTTGGTTGCTGATGATGGTATTTGCCAGTCAATGGTGGTGTCACAAGGCTATGTTTGTGAAGACCATTAAGTATGATTTTTTATGCACTATTTAATGTACTATGTCCTCTGAATTATGTATTTACTGATGGATTAAGCGACTTGAATGAAATTAACTATTTAATGTACCATTAAGTATGATTTTTTAGGCTATGTTTGTGTTGCCCTTTTTTGAGTTTTGTTTTTTTGTTTTTGTTATTTTTGTTTTTTTTTTAGATAACCAAGGCCGAATGAACTTAAATGACCAAACAAACTAAGTTTGTCTGCTTATAGCCAATCGAATAAGGCTAAATTGATGAAATATATTCAACCTTAGTAGTCCAAACAACCTTAAAATATTTGGCTGCCAACCTTAGTAGTCCAGTTTTTGCCCAAAGTTTTTGCCCTAAGTTGTTGCTTAGGCAAAGTGTTGTTTCCTAAAGGAAGGCCCCCCAAGTGTATTTGAGGTCAGTGAGCCTACAGAACAAAGGCTTAGTTTCTTGCATTATAATGCTCCTTTTAGTAGGTATGTCAGTGTCATATGAAGTGTTTCCCTTGTTCTCTTGAGCAAATTGATGCATCTCAACAGGCCCTTGAATATGAGTTAAGTTCCCAAAGTTTCCATTACTTATATTTATAGATAAAAATATTATATTGTTTGCAAACTACAAATAAGACTCGAACCAGTTATTCAACTTAGCAAGAATGAAGAATCCCTGAATACCTCTTCTCCTTGGCCTTCTAACTATGAAACTCAAAATAGTTGACACAGTGACCATAAAATGCTTATCATGTCATGCACACACACTGTGAAGAGCATGCAAATGGTTTTGATTCTTTTCATATATCATTCTATTATTGACCATATGGTTTCACTAGTACTACTAGTTATGCTATCTAGTGGTCCAAAATTACGGGTCATTTCTTAAATTAACTTCCATAATTACGCATTGTTTTAGAACAAATCATGTCATAAAGTCCCACCCTAAAAGAGATTTATGTGACAAGCGAAACAGTGGTATTTTGAAAAACAACATAATCTATCTCAACTTGAAATGCGTGTTCTCATTTGTTCCTCGGTTAATCTTTGTGTGAGTTGTAGGTGACAAAATGGACAAGAGTTGGATGATGATAAATAATAGGCTGACAAGTAAAGAGTATCAACAAGGGGTGAAGTCATTCCTTGACTTTGCTATGGAAACTTTAGGCGTAGAGGATGAAATTAGGTGTCCGTGTGTCGATTGCATTAATGGCACAAAATATAGCAGACATGCACTTGATCCGAAGAGGAATGGCATCTTCATATATAACTTGGGTGCATCACGGGGAACATGTTCCCGTGTCTCGTCTTAGTGCATCAAATGACCAATGTGGAGATAGTGGCGAATGTATGACAAATATCGATGATCCGCCCATGGATGAATTACCTATTATGTTTGAAGAAATTTATGTGAGTGGTCTTATGGATGATCATACCGACGAGGAACCTAATGGTTTGGAGAGGGAGGATTTGCATAAGTTGGTTATTCGAAGATGCACAACGCAAAGTTTACCCGACATGTGAAACGTTTTTTGTATTATCATTCATCATTAAGATGCTTCATGTGAAGGTGTACAACAAATGGAGCAACAAGTCATTCGATATGGTTATGCAGGTATTCAAGGACATTCTACCAGAATGTGATCAAACAGTTCCATGGACACTCTATGATGCTAAGAAGTTCTTACGTGACTTGGGTTTGGGATATGAAACAATTCATTCGTGCAAGAATGATTGTGCACTATTTTGGAAGGAGAGTGCTAATTTGGAGAAATGCCCTACATGTGACGCGTGTAGATACAAGTTGAACGATGATGGTAGTAAAAAGTTTCCACACAAGGTATTACGGTACTGTCCATTGACACCGAGGTTAAAAAGACTGTATATGTCCAAAAAAACAGCCGCAGATATGAGATGGCACAATGAGAAGCGTGTGAATGATGACATTTTAAGGCACCCGGTCGATGGCGAAGCATGGAAGGACTTTGATAAGCAACATCTGACGTTTTCTGATGACTCTTAAAATGTAAGGCTAGGGCTGGCAACAGATGGTTTCAATCCATTTGGGAATATGAGCACATCATATAGCATGTGGCCCGTAATCTTAATGCCTTACAATCTCCCACCATGGAAGCGCATGAAAGAGCCATATTGCATGATGTCATTGCTTATTCCCGGACGTTCGGCACCTGGAAGAGACATTGATGTTTACTTGCAACCATTAATAGAAGGATTGAAGAATTTGTGGAA